TCCCATCTAACCCTTTAAGCATCTCTGTTATCTCCAAACTTACTGACTTCAAAGTAGCCTTCCCTATATTCATATTATACTTCATGTACCCCATGCTGCTAAGTCTCTAAGAAGTGGAGCATGAACTGGTCACATGATTAAGGACTACTGAGAGACACTGTACTTCCTTCCTAGAAATGAAACTCTACCACTTGAGATAAGCATCAAACTCTTTATGAATGATATAGTCTCTCACAAAAGATATAATCTTTATGCAGGAGACGGGGCCTGACTGGCCCTGGTGTTAAGCCTAGTTGAGAAATAGAGATTAGTTCATTATATCCTTCTAACTACCTGTTTTTAAATTCTCCACAACAGAAATGTACATTTTTTTTTTCTTCACATTACAATCTGGGCTACTTTCACAAGATCTAATACCTGACTACTTCTGCCATTTAAATGATACTACAAACTCAATAGCAAAATACAGAACTACACTAAATTATATGTAAAATAATAGTTATCATTTATTTACCATATACTCGGCTCCAAGCATCAAGGTAATTCACACAAAATTATCTGACTTTCCAACAAATTTACCAGGTAGTTATTACTAAAAGCTCAGATTGGTCAAGAAACACCCCAGCATTATCAAGATGAGAATAAACATCCTGAATGTTCATTATTTATCTAAGAAAAACAATATCCCATAAGAACTCAAAACACAGTGCTCACATCAATTTGATGTACTTCACTTCCAAATTATAAGCTACTAAGTAGACTTGGTCAAAGACAAATTTTGAAATCAGTTTACATTTTCCTAGTTAATAGGTGGTGAACTTAACAAATTTTATTTGCATTCACAATTAAATCAGGTATAATACTAGTGGACTGTGTAGTCAGTTCATAGCCACGATGTGGAGAAGGAAATATACAAGTTTAAAGGCAGCTTGGTTTAGCTTTAAGGCAGGAAGTTCAGCAACCCCCTCAAGATGACCAATAATCATGCACAACTGTGGGTATCTGGTCCAAAAGAAAATAGTGCCTAGTTCCCTACATATTAGGGCAATGAACTGCAAAACAAATTTTAGCAATTACATATTAACTTTAAGAAGTTTCATGCAGCACTGGATTTTAATGCAAGTTTCTTTAAAATGCCAATACTTAATGGACTTAGGGCATTCCTAAAACGTGCTCTTTATAAAATATCACTACTAGCTTTTACTCTGTAAAATATTTAAATCCCAGTAAATAAAATTTAGGAATAACTATTTAAGGGGCAAAAAAACCAAATAATTATTTTTTCAATTTGTGCAACCTGCTGTGTTTTAAACAGTTTGTTTCTTTGGCATGAAAAATAAACATTAAGGCACACAAACACTGCAGTTGTAAATGAACAAATGATGGCATGCACTTCCTGGGATACAAATCTCACACTACATGAAAGCATGTTTACTAAAAACCCTCTACCAAGGGGACCAGAAAGTCTACAGGCATAACAATCCACTCAACGAATGTCTTTATACAATTCCTTTGAAGTCATGTTCTTCCCTTATCATATGGTTATTTACAAACTGTACATACAAATTCCAGGGAAAAGGAGGAATTAGAAATTAAGGTATTCATACAGCAAAGAGGTAGTCATAAAAATCATCGAGCTAAAAAAAAAAAAAAACTTATTTCTTAGCATCATAAACATATAATTACACTAAGAAATATTTCATTATAACCCCTGCATTGTACAAATTTCTGAAGTGGTAGTAGGTATGTCCTGGCACTGCAGGGACCTGTTATTTCTAGTACCTTTGCGACGGTAAGACACCCAAGTTGCTATCCATAGAACATGTTTTGAACTCCTCACAGGCCAAGCCAACCTCTGACAGGTGTTTAGTATTCTCACCCTGGCCCCTTTGAAGAATTATGACTTACCAGATGACCAGTTAAGGCCAAGGGTTATACTTCTCAGCCATGGGACACAACAAAATTAATTTGGTTTGCTCAGAAACAAAAACGCTTGCCCTTGGCCTCAACATAAGTGATCTTGCAGAAGAAAAAAAAAAAAATAGGTGTGAAATACAAATATGACAAACCTCCATATTCCATGTAGACCACTGGTAAAATAAAAAGGCCAATTTCATTTAGAAGTGAAACGACCTCCAACTCATTTAAAGTGAGAAGAAAAACGACTGGGGTACCCAGACTATGCATTTGAAATCTAAAAGGGTGACACTTGAATATGTGCATCTCTGCCACCTAGAGATCGCCCAACAATAAAACTGACAGGGCTTTCCTCTGGTAGCTACGTCACAACAGGGGCAGTCTGCTGGGGGAGACAGGAGCTGAACACTGTCAATATTAACAGCTCAGCTATACTCTGGCTTAAGACAGTCTTTACGATACCTTTCGTATTTTAATAAATCAGTTTCTTTAACAAATCCTATATAATGTACCTTCCTCAGTTATTACTGCTTAAACAGAGTCTAAAGGTATACTGCCCAATACAGTAGCCACTGGTCACATGTGGCTAATTGCAACTAAACTAAACATTTTGTCCCTCAACCATTCTAGTCACACTTCAAGGGCTCAAAACTACACAATTAGTGGTAACACAGTGGAGTACAGAGTGTATCCATCACCATAAAAGTGCAGCTGTGCTGTATGCTTGAAATGCTTTTTTTAATTCCTCTATTTTACAAAGTGTATAAAAAGACCATCACTACACTTTAGGGTACAGGTTAATAGTTAATACTAACTTGTGTGCAAGCTATGAACTAGTATTAACTTTCTGTTCCTTATACAGTCTGAGGAACACTTTAATTCTACACACGACCCAAATAAAACATGAGCTCAAGATATTACTATGAAGAACAAAGTGAGTACTTGGTATGCATAATGCAAATAACTTAGCAAGCATATGATTAATACAGATCCTCTCATCCCTCTACTAATACCCCAAAATCTTAGAATATGGAAGCATGCATAATTACTAACTTAAGTGTCTCACAAGAACGAGGCAGTAAAACCTTCAGATACTCCTCTTAAGTGTCTTAGCAAAGGGAAAAAAATTCACTTACACAGGCACTATGCCAACAAGAAATAGTATACCTGAAGAAAAGAAAAAAAATAAACCTCTCAGTCTAAAGCATGCAAAAATGCTCTCATTTGTAGTGATATCTAATATAAATGTTGAGTAACTTTGATTACTTAAAATCAGGTTTATTTACTTTCTCAGAACAAAAAGTAGAATTGTTTATCACTTCTTCAAATAGCTCTTGGATAGGAGGCAAAACTGGGGAACAGAACAGATTGCTTGTTGTTTTTCTGAGTAGGTAAAAGCAAAGCAACCCAATCAAAATCCACACAGCTGTATGTATCTCAAAGAAAAATGCAAACACAACTTAACCATACTTTATTTGACTGCAACTTAGACAGCTTGCACATTTAAAACCCCACTAAATCTGTCTCTCCAAAGGATACGAGACAAGAGGAGAAAATTATGCAATAATATCCAGTCATCAAACAGCAGTCCAATATTTTGAGATACACGTGATATTTTATATACTCAACTCATATCCGATGTCAATATAATTTATGTTTTTACAAACCTGAAAGCCCTGTAACATTATAGCACTCATTTTGGAGATGTCACGGTGCACTGAAAACTCACTCTGATGCACTACCAATTTGATGTTATCTATGCTCCTGGAAAGGGATGAAATTCATGATTTTTAGACACCATAATAAATATACATATCCAGTCTTACAAATGTTAGCCGATACTGTAACACAGGGCAAGGTAAAGTTAAAATGTGACAAACAAACTCCTTTTACACAGATTTGTCGAGCAAATGGGGAAGGTAATTTGGAGGAGAGAGGCAGAAAATACTAAAACCAATTTCTTAATAGGTTTCTTTTATTTTGCTGGCTTCAACTTCAAAAACTTCTGTCTGGTTTGATCTGTGAACTTCTCTAGCATAAGTAGTTTCATCTCAATATAAGGAAAATTATAGTCAGCTCACACTTCAAAAACGGAAGTACACCCGTTCGCTTCAATACTAACACACACAGCTTCACGGCAACACGCGAACCCAGTGTCAGTGAGTGGCACGTCAGTCCTAGAGAGGCAGCACGCTACTAAAAGGAAGCTGCACCCATTTTACTCACCTTCAGCCAAGTGAACTCACTCTAACAATTATGTGTGAAATTGTTTTAAGCTGATAATAAGAAAATCAAAAGCCTAAATCAAAGTAAATTAACATTTGATGCATTTTGACTTGAAGGGATACTTTTAATTTTGGTGCTGGATTATCATGGTAGAGGTTAAAATTTTAGGTAAACATATTTTTGCACATCCTTAATTAAAGGCGTAAGGTACACACTGATACTCTACATACACCAAAAGATCAATATGGCAATCACTGAGTTTCTAGTGACACAGTTAAGGCCATGTTTACAAATGGTCAGGATAACAGTTGATCCAGCAATTCTGGGGTTAAGGATCAGTGGTGATAGTCTGACAGTCTGACAAAAACAGAGATAGTTGAACTGATAATCTGGCAGGTATCTGTAACTGTCCCTATTATGAAGTCAAGCAAATGTTTATTCATCAACAATCATTACCTATTAACCAGCAAGTCAAATAAAAGTGTGAAATAAATTTGATTACGTAAGTAACACTGTTTTAGCTAGTTTCCTTCATATTAAAAATAATAACAGAAGCATTATTATGACTGGTATTCTTCTAAACGGTAGAGCCCAGTGAAACACGAAACAGTCAGCTGAAAAGCTGAGTACTATGTGGTCATCATATTTTTAATAACCAGTATTCTGCCCATTAAATTTTAAAGAGCAATACAATATGGAAAGAAAAGGTTTTCTTTAAAATAAGGAATTATAAATGATCCCACCACAGCAGGACGGTTTAATTTTCATCAAATATAAACTGTGTATCTTTATTTTAAAAGTAATCACCATGTTCACTTCCAAAACACTTTACTGAGCAAAGAGCAGCTTTCCTAGGGAAAAAAAAAAGCAACAAACTTTCCTGAAAAGGGGCCTTTACCAACTGTTAATGGAGGTAGGGTTTTTTAAAAATACAGTAATTATAGCCACAAAAATTTCAAACCAAATCCTACAGAAGATGTAAAGCATATTCAAATGAAAACAGCAACAACAACACTGATTACTAAAAAATATTTTTTCACAGAGGGTAAATCTTTTCTTATGGGTACCTAGGTTTTCCAGTTAAATAAGTTATCCACCATAGATTTGCCAACTCAACTGAAAGTTAACTTCAAAATTTGTTACACTACATCAGTTAAACAAAACGCAATGTAATTATTAAACATGGTGGCTGAAAACCCAAAGAACTCACTAAAAAAAGATTTTTCTTTATCCCTTGTTTTTCTGGAGGAACAAAGCAAAGCTCTCCTAAACAATCTGTCAGACAAGTGAAAAGAAAATAAAAGCAGCTTAAAAGGATACAATGCACCTTTAAATTTATTTTGAAGACCATGAACCAAAAGTGAAGCATTTTAAGAAATGGAAGCAACCTGAATCCAAATCAAGTGGGGAAAATACTTCTAACTACTTTATAAAAGCGGCAGCAATAATTTTGATTAAATAAAATCATACCAATTTACATTAATTTTCTATTCTTTTCCAAAAGTTTCCTCACTCTCAAAAAAAAAAGTGCATCCAAAACCCAGCAATTCCCAGCTCCATCAACCTTTCTCATCCCTCTTGAGCCAATCCTCAAAGATTTCCCAAGCAGATTCAACTTCCTACTGTAAGGAAAAAAGGGACTTCTAAGGTGAATCAGTGTCACCTGGAAAAAGTTCCAAATCATAAAAATCTGAAATAGTTTATTATCAAATTTAGAATTTAAATAAAAACAAAATTTGCTTTCAAAGGCCAAAAAGAAAAGGAAAAGACAGCATGCATTCAAAAACTAGAGATAAAGACAAATATACCTATATCTACACAGGCACTGGCAGACGCAATTTAATTATTGTTACCCCACCCTACATTTTTTCATTCCCTAATCACTGAGGTACCAAAATTCAAGAATGGAAAATTTAATATTGAAAAAATAAAACCTAAAATTGAAACTTTTCCCTCATCCCTTTCAGAAAACTATGGCAGGTTTTGTGTGAAATGTTAATATACTGAGAGACTTTTACAATCTACATTGGCTTTTTTAAGAAACAAAAATTCTGTTCCACTTACTGGTTCTGTGATAGAATGGTCACTATGTAAATGACATTGTCAGCAGACTGCAAATGAACAATTCTTGGCTATCAACTGGCACGTCTTGTTGGTACCAAAAGAACTCCTGAAGTTTAAAACAATCTCTTTTAATTCAGAACAAATGCGCCATGCCAAAGTGCAACAAATATTGTGCGACACTCAATGAGACACTGACAGGTAAGAGCTGCATGGGAATTACTAAATCCACCTGCAAAGCAATTCTGTACAAATTGCATTGCATGCAAAGGTCGACTGTGTGGTTGGAAGTTGTTCCTCAACGTCAGTTTCTCAACGCAGCCACAGTTTAAGTCGCAGTGCATCAACTCCATTTAAATAGTATCTGAACAGCCTCTTATCTCGAACAAAACCAAGATTTTCATAAAGTTTCAAAGCAGACTTATTTGTTATTTCGGTTTCCAAAACAACCTTTAAGGAATGAAAGAAAATTAAGTTATAATTTTATTATTTGAAAAGCTTACAGAACACACAATCAGATCAAATATTTAAGAAAAACACACTACATTGATTTGTTTAGAAACTGACAGTGAAAACAATACTAATATGACGTAATAATGGTCATAGTAATTATCTCTGAGTCAAAATGGGCTATGCACGGTCTCCAGAGACTTACTCATCTTTGAGATGTTTGGAATTTTAAACAATAATGTACATTTTACACTAAAACAAAGATAATTATTTCTCTGTGGAGAAAAACAAGGTGGCAAAAGAAAAACAAAGATTTAATAAGTAAAGCAGTACTTGAAACTATTCAGACTGACCTCCAATTCCTGCATTTTCATTAATATTATCATTTTTCTTGACAACAACTCTTCAATTTGTGTAGTGTATAACCAGTCTGGAAACTATAGACCTTGAGCAAAAGGTGCCTACTGCCTGCTTTTGTACATAAAGTTTTACTGGAACAGTCGCACACATTTGTTTACACATCTATGGCTGCTTTTGTTTTTTTTGTACCAGGGATTGAACTCAGGATCTTGCACTTGCAAGGCAGGCAGTGGCACCAGTGAGCTAAATCCCCAGCCCTATGGCTTTGTGATACTGGGAAGAACTGAGCAGTTATCACAAATGCTACGGTCTACACAGGCTAAAATATTTTACCACCTGGCCTTCTGCAGAGAAAGCATAGCAGAGAACATCTGGATTTCAAGTACAGTGGTGCCTCAGTTCACAAACTTAATTATTCCATGATTCTGGTTGAGAATGAAATCAAATTTCCCCCAAAGGTCAACAATGAACCTAACCAGTAAATCTGATTTGGTTCAAATTCACTTTGCTACCAGAATCATGGAAGCAAAGAATCGAGGCACTACTGAAATCACAAGAGCATGTTTGTTGTTGCTGGCTGAGGGACTACAATTTCAGAATTACTGGCCTAGATATTACTGATATCAAAACTTAAGAGAGGAGCCGGGTGTGGTGGCACACACCTGTAATCCCAGCACTCGGGAGGCTGAGGCAGGAGCATCTCTGTGAGTTCGAGACCACAGTGAGTTCCAGGTCAGTCTCAACTACATAGTGAGACCATGTCTCAAAAAACCAAAAACCAAAAAACAAAAAAAACTTCATAGAGGAACATAGGATTAATTTCTATGAGTCTTTTTTAACATTACTGTACTAGTGGCCATGAAAATAAAGAACTGATACTCTTTTTTTTTTCTTTTTTGAGACAGGGTCTCACTTTGTAGTTCAGGCTGGCTTCAAACTCGCTGCACTCTTCTTGCCTCAGCCTCCCAAGTGCTGGGATTATAGACATGCGCCATCACGCCCAGCAAAACAAATGCTCTTGAATACTGTTTTTCATATTTCTACTTCTCTATATCAACTCTTGATCCCACCATCCCAAATTTTATAGCTCTATTTAGCTTTTCTATTGAGTCTCACCTACCTCACAACACAGTAAATCAGTTACTACCCTCAGGTGCACAGAGCAGAAGAGAAAAAACATGCAAAGTACAATTAAATGAAGACCCAAGTAAAGTATACAAGGCTCTCCCAGTTCTACTTCAGGCTATGAAAAGTCTGACGAGAATTCAAACAACAGATGTAAACAGACGACACTGCCTCAACTTATTTCCTCCTGATCTGCTTTCTCTACAATTCCGTAAATCCACAAGCAGGATTTCTACCCCACCACAGCAATGCCTCAAAGTCATAATCTCAGGGTCGTCTTGAGCTCTTTGAAGCTCTAACTACCGCTCACACCCGTCTTAACTGACCTCTCACGCCAGCCTGCGTGGTTTTACTCTCATCACCACTGCTCCCACCCCCGTCCAAGCTGGCACCAGCTCTCACCTCAGTCACAGAGCTTGCCGGCTCAAGACTACCATTTTCTACAAGGAGACGGATGCTTGTTATTTGCTACTAAAATATTTACTCTTCTGTCATCAAGTCCAGGATTTTAAAAGGTCTAGAGACCCAAAAGACTCACCAGGATACGGCCTCTACCCACATCTCTTTGTTTTCATGCTCAACACCTAACTTTCTGGGTCTGGAATCCCCATGATCTTCACTTCCTTAGTTTTCTCATAAAAAAGTTTTTTCTAGAAAGATGTTCTTCCTGTACTTCTTTCTCACTTAGCCTGGTGCTTCCAGACTAGGTGGAACATTCCTTTCCTTTTGTACTGCCCCACAGCACTCTGCAGTGCTGCCCTGAAATATCTAATGATCAGTGGGCATGTCAGCCCTTCTATATGGCGAGGCCAACACAAGAGTCCAATACCTCCTTCATGGCTCTACTCTCTATGCCTCCCAACTGCAGAGCACTCAGAAAGCTCTGGAACACGAATGCCATGTGTCCTCAGCACCCCCTTCACTGCACAACATAAACATTAAATAAACAAAGTGCTTTCATACTTTTCAACAGCTAGAGAACATGAAGTATCATCTGAAAGCCATTATCTGTGCAATTCCCTCCTAAAAGCAAATCTCATGCTAACCCTAACCCTGTAAGATCTAAAACAAAGTAAATGATAGTTTAGGATCAACTGGGCATGGTGATGCATACTTATAATCTCAGCATCTGGGAGGCTGAGCCAGGAGAATCACAAGTTGGAGCTAAGCCTGGGCAATTTTGCAACTTGGCAAGATCCTCTCTCTAAATAAAATATTAAGAAAAGGGGTTAAGGGTATAGCTCATTCACAAAGTTCTGGACTCAATTTCTAGTACCGCTAAATAACCAAACCAAATCAAACCAAAATATCAACAAAAAAAAGTTCAGGATCAAATAAAAATATTCCCAGGAAGACTTTTTAAAAAAAGCTATAGTTGGGCATAGTGGTACAAACCTGCAATCCTAGCACTCAGGAGGCTGAGGCAGGAGGATCTCTGTGGGTCTGAGGCTAGTTTGGACTACACAGTGAGTTCAAAGCCAGCCCAGACTACATAGCAAGACCCTCTCTTAACAAAACATAAAATAAAGGCTATGCAGCCAATAAGCTGGTTTCAGGAATTAAAATTCAATTTCACTATGATCTCAATTCTGTTTTTAATAATGTGTGCTGTAGTACAGCCTGGAACATTTCAGTCTAATATAAGTTTTTAGTTTTACACAATTTTCTTGGGTAGCCAGGCGTGATGGCTCATGCCTGTAATCCCAGCACTTGGAGGCTGAGGCAGGAGGATCTGTGAGTTTGAGACCAGCATGGGCTACATAGTGAGTGCCTGATCAGTCTCAACTACATAGCGAAAACCTGCCTCAAAAAAAAAACAAAAAACAAAACAACAAAAACGGTTTTCTTGGGTAATTCCTGGAATTCTGATATCAGCTCAGCTAATAGTTAAAATGTTAAATTGAGGCAATTTAATGACACATTAAAGCTGAAACAATGCAAAGCTTGTGACTTGTTTTCGTAGAAATAAAAAGGAGACTGACAATTTTTAAAAAGATTAGCCAATGTTTACTGAATTTGGGCTATGTATTCTGTTACTGTATTTCCACAGAATGAAACTTAAGATGACCAGCACAGCCCAAACATGAACTTGAACTTCATAGTAACCGCTCTTCTACACTTCTCCAGGTGTTTTCCAGAACAAAGTAAAGCAGCAAAAGGGAGCGCTAACCTACTCAGGAAAAGATGAAGGGCGTGTGCACACCCTCAACGTTCAGTCATCCAAAATATTCAGTGCATTTAAGACTAACTACAGCTATGCCAACACACTACTGAAGTGTGGTTAAGAGTAGAATCCTAGTCTGTAAGCATTCTAATAGATTGATAAAGCCCAGTTATAACACAAAAAAATTACACAAAGGGTTATTCTAATTTAAATGTAAAGAACCTGGGCTGGGGATTTAGCTCAGTGGTTCTGCCCCTTGCCTCACAAGTGCATGGTCCTGAGTTCAATCCCGCGTACCAAACAAAAACCAAAAAACAAACAAATAAATCTAAAGATCCCCTGGGCACACTCACATTTTCTAAATAAAAAGATTTTAAAAACCCCACAGGGGCTGGGGATTTAGTTTAATGGCAATGCTCCTGCCTTGCAAGTGCAGGTCTTGAGTTTGATCCCTAGTACTGGAAAAAGGATAAAGGAGGGTTTTTTGGTCCTAAAGAAAACTGACAAAGTTGAATTCTCTTTAACGGAGTCAGAGTTAGAGTGATATTCCTCTAATTCTCTTAGCAACAAACCATTATTCAGGATAAACCAACTATTACAATGTAGACCGCATTTTTTAATACATAAGCTGGGAAGCCACTTGAAAAGCAGACAAGCCCAGAGTCTAACCACTCACGTGTTGTCTGGCACCTAGCACACCTTCATTCCACAGGTGTCTGCTGAATGAACAACTAATTTTTCACCGCCCTTTACAACAGAATTAACACCAGATTGCAGAGGCTAAGTGAGACAGCCTAAAAAAGTAAATGATTTGCCTATAATCAACTATAATGATTTGCCTATAACAGCCTCTATGACATAACCAAAATGTGTTTCTAGTGAAATTAAAAACATAATAATTAAACACATAAATATAACAAACACTCATAATTAAAAAGCTACAAAGTCATCTTTTACCTTATGGAGGAAAAAGAATGACTCAATCTTTCTACCCTTTTCTATGTATATTTTAATCAAAAATAACTTTTTTTCTTTTTTTTCTTTGGTCACCAAAAATGTAATCTAGTTTAGTTATTATTGCTAGTAATGATCTATTTTATTCTTTTAGTGGTACAATATATGGCATATTACTTTTACATCTAGAACACACCAAAACGTCTTGTGCATTACTCGTATACTGCTAGAAGGAAGTAGCATTAAATGAAGTAAAGCAGGCTGTTGGGAAAGCGAACTGCAAACAATGCAACAGGGCACGGAGCGGAATCTTTACACGGGGGACGTTGTCTTTTCAACTTCACATAGGACATGGCACAAAGGCGAATGCCTGATCCCAACACTCAAGAGGCTGAGG